GCTCTTTGGTTACTGTTGGACTCCAGTTCCCATCATCCACACAAAGGACCACCAGTGGTCAGGGATGATGGGACTTTCAGTCCAGCAACAATATAAGGACAGCGATAGGCCCCCAGTCCTTGTGTTAAAGGCACATCAAGAGTACCCAGGAGGTAAAGAGAGGTAAGTGACAAGAAATTAGCTTTCCTCCAAATTCATACACAGGAAGAAATTGCATTTAAGGGTTATGGACTAGAAAGGAAATTTTTCCAGTCTCTGTTTCAACTTTTTAATTCACCTTGAGAGAGTCTGTGCGGTGTCGTGGTTTGAGCATTGGATTAAGACTCTGGAGGTCAGGGTTCGAGTCCACGCACGAGCATAAAACCCACTGGGTGACTTTGGGCAAGTCACACTCTCTCAGCCTCAGAGGATGGCAAATCCCCTATGAAGAAACTTGCCAAGAAAATCCTGCGATAGGTTTGCCTTAGGGTCGCTATAAGTTGGAAATGACTTGGAGGCACACAACGACAACAACAAATTCACCTTGAATCCTTGGCAGGATATTATTGATGATATCCCTATATTGGGAGAAAGGTGGGATATAAGTAAATATAATAATAATCCTCCTCCTCCTTCTCCTCCTCCTCATCATCATCATCAGAACTGAGCTTGCAGTTACTGCTGACACATACAAATAATAATAATAATAATAATAATAATAATAATAATAATAATAATAATACCAATTTTGGAGGCCATTTAATCCAATTCCTTGCTCAGGACTGGAATTTATACACAAGTTTCTAGTCCTCAAGCAATACCGAAAGATGGCTGTCTAATCTCTGCTTAAATATACCTTGAGATGGAGAATCCATCACTTCTTGTGTTAGTCTGCTCCATGGTGAAACAAGTCCTGCTGTGAGAGTATTTCTCTCAATTTTTAGTCCAAATTTCTGCCCTGGTGGTTATAATAATAATAATAATAATAATAATAATAATAATAATAATAATGGTTTTAATAACCTTCTCTTTGATGGTTATACTTTTATTTTGAAATCTTAGTAACTCTGTAAGAGTAACTTTGAATGACTTTATAGTAACTTTGTAAGAAGCAGATCTCCGAAAAACTTCTTGAAAAAGTAAAGATTGCTGTTGGTAGTGTGATTTAAATACTATGTAAGTATTGTAAGGTAAAAAAAGAAAATAACAAAGTTAAGGAAGTAACTGGTTCCCAACCATTATGAACGTAGAAGGTTTTCATTCTCACAAATATAATTGATTACTAGAAATTACTAGTATGTAAATAATACCATTAGCTATGTTTTATTTGTATATTATAAAGGTTATAAATAAAATTCTTTAATAATAATAATAATAATAATAATTGTTCCCCAATTCGATCCATCGGGAGTGGCATTAAGAAATAATAATAATAATAATAATAATAATAATAATAATAATAATAATAACTGATGTGTTTTGAACAGATGCAGTGTGTTTTTTAATTGTTGTTCCCAACCTCCATCCATGGGGAGAGGCAGGTAAGAAGTAATAATAATAATAGCAACACATATAATAATAACATATAATAATATATAATAACATATAATAGCAATAATAATGATAAAGATGGTTTATACTTATATGGCTGTTTGTAGTAGACCCTTATGTATCCCTCCCTAGCGATATCTGGTTTTTATCTCAATTTTGTCTGTTTAAAATAAAGTTTTTAAATAATAATAATAATAATAATAATAATAATAATAATAATAATAATAGCAACAACAACAACAACATTATGTAATACAATGAATGGATTTTGCACCATGAAGAAACACAAGTGTCCTTGGATCTTACTTAAAATTAAGATTTTTTTAAAACTTTCCTAGTTGTTTTAAACATTATTTCGTCGAGTATTATTTCTTCCTCGCGGGGAATGACAATTTAAAAACAACACAACATGAGTTTAAAAGACATCAGTTAAAATATACATCAGCTCTAAAGGACTAATAAAATAGGACACATATTAAAGCAACCCACATTTAAAATTCGCAATTTCAAAATCATCTGGATAAGCCTGCCAGAAGAGACTGGTTTTTAATGGTGTCTTAAATTCAGACCGTGTATTTTGGCCCAATTCAGGTATCGGCGTTTTGTGGATTTTGGACACCATAAATCAGAAATTACACAAATAATAATAATAATAATAATAATAATAATAATAATAGTCAAGGGCTGGTAAGTGTTATGCATGTTCTGTGTTTTTTTTAAAATACATTGTCATCCGAGCAAATTAATCACTGAATTTTAAAAAATTAAAAATATTTGCATTCTGATCCTCTTCTTTACTGATTACAAAACTCTCTAAAACTCTCTTTTTTTAAAAAAGAAACCATCTTAGGTTTGACATAGTATCAAAGCATCCCCTCTTGATGCTGGGAATGGGGAGAGGACCACTGAGCATGGGATGTGGTTGCATCAAGGGTTGCATCCGTACTGCAGAAATAATCCAGTTTAACACCACTTTAACTGCCATGGCTCCATGCTATGCAAATCCTGGGAATTGCAGTTGGTTGTGGCACCAGTTTGGCTTGGGCTGCCTCCACACTGCAGAAATAATGCGGTTTGACCCCACTTTAACGGACATGGGTCAATGCTATGGAATCCTGGGATCTGTAGTTTGGTGGGGCATCAGAGCTCTCTGCAAGAGAAGGCTAAATGTCTCACAAAGCTGCAGATCCCAGAACCCCATAGCATGGAGCCATGACAGTTAAAGCGGTGTCAAACTGGATTATTTCTGCAGTGCGGATGCAGCCAAGAATCAGAGGGTCTCAGCTACCTTTCTTGCTGGGGATTTCTTTCCTTTATTCCTTCCTCAGTCCTTGCCTGCAGTCTTCTTGGTCTGTCTTTCTCTCTCTCCGTCT